TTTATATACCCTCAACCTCAAGGACCTGCGTTCAACCGCACTGACAGAGGGCTCGACAACAATCACTGACACCTCTATCAACAACTTCATCAACAACAACATCATCATCAACAATCACCATCAACACCTTTAACCGTTATACGAATCATTCGACAGCTTCATCTCGAACTATCCTCTATCACGATATATAAACTGCCAAGCTGAGCTTGGTGGTCTTGTTGTTCTGATAGCATAGAAGGGCAGAGCTTGCAACTCCACCATCCCCTTCTCCATTCAGCAAAAGGGTTTCACAACCACTTTTGAGTCTTACAAGGGAGTCCCCAACGTGATAGGATAAACTTCCGATTGACATCGTGTGACCAATTTTAAACGAAACAAGAAGATAATCAAGAAGACATCGACAGAGGATTGTTACTTTAGTGGTAAACAGAACGAATTCATCAAATAAATCTGCGACTACTCAGCGGCATATTCAGTTATTCTGTTGATCAACCAGTCAAACTTCAATAAACAATCCAACGACACAAACAACAAACCTCTGAAAAGAAAGTGAACCCATTGACTGAAACGAGTATCTTGAAGAAGGCAGCCAGTTATTGACCAGCAGAAGGAAGACCACCAAAGGATCTGGATAACTAGGATACTGTTTGAAAAGAACTCCGGAACTATTCGAGGAAAGCAGCTGCTTATTGACCAAAAGAAGGAAGACCACCGAAGGATTTGGATAAGTAGATTCTGTGAAAGAAGAAATTCCCAGTGTTAACTGATTTATTTATTTTAAGAAAACCATAAGCTTGCCCTGGTAAAGAGACCAGAGACCATAGTATTATTTGTTTCTTTTTCAGAGCAAACGTTTGTTTAGGTATCGAAGGAGCGTCAAGTAAGGAAAACTAGGAACATCAATCAAAATCAACATGAGTCTACCGTACAGTACACCAGATTTGGAAGATGGGTTTGCACCGTCAACCCCTTTTAGGAACCGAATTTTCGACTGACCTTCAGGATCATCATCAGCTTTCAATTGGAATCCGGACACTACTTTGCCACCACCGAAGGATAAAGGAAAGGGAAAAGCAAGCGAAATGCGGGATACAACGGAGGAAGACTCAGATGCAGGCGATCCTACACCTCAAGCACACAACTTACCTCCTCTGTCTGGATATGGACTTCACAACACCCAGAATGCAGAAGAGCCAGTGTATAATTGACAACAACAACAACAACCAGCGAATCAGGAACAAGCAGATCAACAACCAATCCCTCAAGTTGCACCAAGAATTATCAAAGAACCTGGACTTTTTTACGATGGTGAAAACTTTGGAAAGTTCTTGATGCGGTTTGAAAGAGCGGCTAGGGCGTTTAATGCAAGCGACTACGATAAAGCATTACAAATCGGCCGGTTCATGAAGACGGAGGACCTTAAAACTCAACTAGAAGCCATGAACGGGTATGAGAAATGTGAATGGAGAAAATTACGAAAGGAGA